TAGGATCCTAAAAGAAAGGTACAAACACACTGGTTTCAGGCTTAAAGGTATATGGATACATTCCTGTAAGTTTCAACTCAGCAAAGTCCTTCCAGGAGCAAGTCTGAGGCAGGATTCTAATAAAAAAATGAATACTGCTGTTTTCATTCACTTTCTGGGACGTTTTCAAAGGTCCAACGGACTTCATCTTGTTTGAATATATTTTCAAAACATCCCTATCTTTGACCTCTGAACTGCTGTCTCCTGCATGTGTATGAGTTTGGGCTCATGAATGGCTGCTTCCTGTCCACCCAGGGCTTTAGGTAACTTCACACCTGTGTTTCATATACTTATTTTGAAACTACAAAGCCTTCTTTTGTGACTATAAAACATTCACACTCTCAGTGTGTAAGAGGTACATGAAAAAGTTGCCCCATACAATGAGAACGTCTTTCAAAATTAAAATCCAAATATTTTAGGGTCTCCCCGGTGGCGCAGTGGTTGGGCGCTGGGTTGCGAAGCTGCTCGCAGCCTCTGCAGCGCCGGTTCAATCCCCGGCTGCTCCCCGGCCACCAGAGGAGGGTCCCGCATGGCGTGCAGACCTCTCCTGCCGCCCGCTGCTCCCCTCAGCAGTGTACTTCGGTCCTGCTGCCTGCTCTGCTCCCTGCTCTGGCTCTGGTGAATTCTCTCACCCTCCCGCGCTTCTGACTCTACCCAGTGCTTGTATGAATAAATAGGTAAATCTTTAAAAAAAAAAATCCAAATATTTTAGAGTAGATGGAATGTGTGTTTTGTATATATACATATTATACATTGTATACATATGGACATAGATACACATATGTACATATACACATAAATATAAATGATCTAGAAGAGGCTGTGTAACACACCACAGAACCACATCTCTGCTGGCATGAAAGAAACAGCTGGTGCTGTTTTATTTTGGCACAACCACAAACTGGTCCGAGAATGAGGAAGAATGTATTTATGAAAGAGGATACTTGAGCAATCAACCAACCTGAAAATCAGACCGAACTCTCTCTCTTCTCTGATGAAAACTGTGATTGATTTTTCAATAGCCACAATTAACACATGCATTTCTTTTACGACATAGCTGAGGCTCTTCCTTAAATGTTTTACATGCACCTATCCTTTACATCCAGAGGAAAGGCATTTGGCTATTAGATAACGAAAACCTCAGCAGTGTGAGACCCTCTGCAATTGTTTTTCTCCCATCATAGTTACACTTTACCAAGTATCCTTTGTTCCAAAGACTTCCAGATATTGACAGTCAATACTGAAAGTGGCCAGGAAGTTATTCTACAATGGAAACTTGACTTCTAAGTCATTAGCTTTCTGTGCTTGTCATCCCTCCAAAAGTTTTAGATATGAGAGGGTGCACAGTGAGGCTAGAAACTTTTCCTTCCTCCCCCACAAAGACTTTTTTTCCTTAGCCAACAGTATTCCACCTTCTGCAGTCAGATCCCACCTACTCCTGCCTGGAAGATCCTTCCTGGGCGGTGGGTACTGGGGAAGCCAGCTTTGCTCAGGAACTTCAGTAAAGTATAATTTTTAGTTGTGAATATAAAACAGGTCGTTACCCCCAGGATGAGCCCACTTTATAACCAAAATTATAAATTACATTGGAGTCACATTTACTGCCTTTTGAACAGACATTTTAAATAAAAATATTTTAGGTTAGTTACATGCTTTTTCAAGATTTATTTATACATAGAAGAACTGGGGTATAGGCCAGAGGTGTGGGGGGTGAAGGATTCACCAGAGATAGGGTGAGGAGCAGAACAGGCAGACTGACTGAAACACACTGCTGAGGGGAGCAGTGGGCGAGACAAGAGAGGTCTGCTGTGCCATGTGGATCAGCTCCCTGGAAGGGGATAGAACTCATGTTGCAGTGACTGGAGATAGCTTGATAGCTTGATAGCTCGATAAAGCTGAGACTTAGCCCTGTGCCACCAGGGAGGCCCTTTTTTTTTTTATCACTCATAAGGAGACAAATTTATGGAAAATTTTCACCACATCTATAATGCTCATTGTGGTTACTCAGTGAAATAAGCTTTCAGGAGAAAAAAATCTAAATCATTTCTGTAGGATTTAATAGTAAAACAAATTCACTTGCAGAATCTCCAACACCATCTTTGATCATGGAAATTTCTCCATTGTTGTATGGCAAATAGCAGCAGATCAATGAGAGTATTTTCACAGTAAATCACATCGTATGTGAGAAAATCTAACACTTTTTAGCATCTATGCACAAGTTAGAACTTATATCTGTTTGGGCACAGTATTAGATCTTTCAGACATCATAAACATTACATGTCTTCATCATATCATATAAGTGTCCTAAAAAAGAAATCTGGAAACAAGGAACTAAAAGTGCTGTCTGAGAATCTAACGTTTTAAAATGCATACAATGGAGTAGAGCAAAGAGATGCAAAGTCACCTCTAAAAAAGCCAAGACTTGACTATAAAGTGATGGAAAGAAGGTGACAACATATTTGTAGAAACAACAATTGCTTGTGGGTGGCAAGTGGGAAGGAGTTGGGTCAGTCTTGAAAACACAGGAAACAGAAAGGCTGCCTATTTGGTAATGCATCTCCCTCATGAGCCCAGGAGACAGCACACTGGCCTGCTTTGCTCAATGCGGTAGGTGTCTGCGTGGATGGAGGTGGGAGATGCATCCATTTTATTCAGGCTCCGTGACATCATTCACTGATATCACCCGAAAGTGCCAGTCCATGTTCACCAAGTTGCTCCTGTGGGGTGAGAAGGTGCTCATGGGAAAACACAGTACCTGTGTAACCAGTAGTTAAACTTCTCAGTGCAAAGTGGTAAATAAGGTTTGGGGGCTTTTTTTTTTCTCTTGTTTTATGAATCTGGTGATGCTAATGGGCCTGTGAGAGATGATTCCATTCTCAGTGTTCCCAGATATCACATCTTATACCAGCAATGACTTTCCCACATCATGTTTCTGATAGGAACTGAAGAGGACAAGCCAACCTTCTTTCACCCAACAGATACCAGACCTCACTTGCCTGAAAATGCAAGGATACAGCGAGAGCTTTTCAGATTCTTCAAATATGTCAAGGTCTGTTTCGCCCCAACACACACTCCCGTGTCAGCTTCTCCAGCTCTCATCTTTATCATCAAAAACAGAGTGAACATTTTCACCAGGAGGTGGAAAACCTGAATCCTATTTACACTCCTGACATTTTCCATGTGACATTGAGAAAATCACAATCATCTCAACTTCTGTTTTTTGTAATATGGTAATTAAGAAAGACCCCTTGTACATAAAGTCCTGGACCTGCTTCAAAGACCCTTAAGGTCCCTTCCAGTTACAGGATCTGTTCCTTCAGCTGCTTACTTTCTTTTGTGAATTATAAATTCTTCAGACTGTTTTTCCCAAATGTGAATATAAACATATCTGTAATTCATGGGGCACTAGAGAAGTGGTATAATTGTAAAAAACAAATCTCACAAAAATCAGAGATTTATAATACTCCATGTAACATAAATTCCATTCGTGTTTTCATGTGGAAAATCAAAAACATGTGTTCCATGTATTATATAGAAATACAATTATTTCTCTAGGAAATAATTTACTACCCATAATAGTGTATACCGAAGACAAAGCTCATAAGAGAGACAACTTTTGTTTTGAGAATTGGGTGTTAGACAAATTGTCAGCTCCTTATGACCTGAAACTAAAATCCTTGCATTTCCAGCTCCCCCATAATTCATCACCCACTCCTCACCCCCGCCTGCTGCTACCTAGCATGAGGCTTGCCTTGCCCAGTCACCTGGGAAGAGCTGGGAGGGAAAGTACTTGGAAATGAAAACAGATGTAGTTCTACCTCCTGAAATTCGAGATCTGCACCACAGCCTCACTCTTCAAGAAAAAGAGCCTCGTTTAACAGCCCTGCGAAAGGATCGCGAGGGACATGAAGACAATGAAGGCATGTACCAGGTGCCAGACATTGGCTCACCTATGTCACCTGTTTTAATCTTCACAGTATGAGGCTGATACTCTTACTACCGCCTTCCCCGCCCCTCCACAACAAAAGAAGCATCCAAGGCACAGAAGGTTTCCATTGCCCAGCAAATAAGGGTTTGAGGCAAGATTTTATAAACTAGGTGGTCGGGTTTCAGAACCTGCATTCTTCACACGATGCTCTACTGCCTCCTAGCGTTTATTAACGGTCCTCAGGTCAGGCGCATCAAGGTGCCTGGGGTGTTGGCCCCAATGCCGCTTCCTGGCCCATCCCAGGGTTACAGTTTCAGAATCTTGCTGGAGTTTTCAACATGACTCCGAAAGGAAAAGACAGAGAAGAGGCCCTTAACAGAAATATAGGCTTTAATTTAAAGTGTTCAAAAGTCATGAAATCACTTTAAAAATTTTTTACTGAGGTAACCATGGAGGTGGGACACACAGTTAGGTGTCGCCAGGAACTCACACAGCAATCAAAGGAGAAGAGGACAGGTTGTTCCAGGTTATGAGACCCCTGGGAATATGAGGCCTTAACTCATATTCAACTTTCTAACGGTGGAGTGAAAGATCCTTAAAATGTGTTGGGTTTTTGCTTTATTTTTGTTTTCTTAAGAAATTACAGGTTATACGTGGATGGAGCTAGAAGGAATGATGCTCTGTGAAATAAGTCAGAAGGAAAACAAAAAATCTCGGATGGTTTCAATTATAGGAGGAATATGGGGAACCAAATAAGACATCAGTGTGAAAAAAAAACCAATAACAATACAAAACACAACAAAACAAAAACAGACAATTCTAAACCAGAGACATCCTGCAGGGGAAGAGGAGGGAGAGGCATCAGAGGGAGGGAGGCAGGAGCACAGGGCACTGAGGTGACAGTACACCAGTGCATTGGTGAAGGAAATTCTAAGGGGACTACACTTGGGGGTAGGGGGGGAAACAAATATTGTTTAAAAATGAACAATGATGTAAAAAATAAATAATAAAAAAGAAATTACAGGTTATAAAGAACAGTTTTATTTTCTGCTATAATATAAAGTCTGTAAGCACTGACAACTGATTTTTTTTTTTTATTCCATGATGCTGGTGTTGGCTTTAAGGCATTTCTGTGTAATCTGTCTTGCTCTTCGCTGAGAACAGATTCCAAACCAGAATCCGAATTAGCGCAATGCCCAATGGGACCAGGCAAATCAAATTGAACATAGCATCATGAAGATCTACCATTGAACTAGGGGGGAATAAATTGAAAACATAATTAGCTTATCCAGTGGTTTCTTTTCTTACTAATTAATCCAAGCTATATAACAAAAGCTTTCAGGAACATTTTGTCATCGAATCCATTTAAAAAGAAACAGAAATTGCATCAAATAATATTGATTCTTTCAAATAATTGAATAATGGAATAATCCTCACCTTCCTATTGCTCATACCAGAGGAGGCTGACATGTATACCCAGGCATCTAATCTACATACTCCTAATCTTGAAATTACGGTCCAGTCAGTTTTAAGCAAAATGGTGGGATTAGGCAATCTTTTTTTTTTTTCCAGGATTCATTTTTATTACTAAACTTTCTTCATTCAACCAATTAGAGGTTACAAGAGGAAATTAGTGTTAATTATAATATTCAGAAGTGACATGGCCTTGTTTTCTGCCAAGAACTTTCATTTGGCTCCCAAATACCTATAGTTCGTGATTGCATTCCAGATAGATTATATTTTTTTCATTTAACTCATATACAGTAAAAGGTGGGTCCTAATTTATTCAGGGGCTGACTATCTGGTCTGCATCTTCTTAGTTAGCTAGGCTAGCTAAAATAGCACCTAATTCATTCAGCCAAGTGAAGAAATAAATGAAAAGGTCAAAGTATATAATACAAGAGGAGAAAGCAGTTTGTTACATTTTCATAGTTAAACCATTTGCTTTTACCAGAATTAGGTATAGTCATTTGTCTTAAAAAACAAACAAACAAACAAACAAAAAAAGACCTCTTTCCCATCTTGCAAGATGGCATGTGTAAAAGCTGAGAAGTCAGCTACTAAAGAAAAGAAACCTGAAGCCAAGAAGGCTGATGCTGATGGCAAGGTTAAGAAGACCAAGGCCAAAATCCCTAAAAGGAAACCCCACTATAGCCAAACCCTGTCCTAGTGGAGGAATTGGCAGATACTCCCGATTTGCTATGCATTCCAGAAAGGCCGTGTACAAGAGGAAATATTCAACAGCTAAATCCAGGATTGAAAAGAAAAAGGAGAAGGTTCTTGCTACTGACCACAAACCAGCTGGCACTGACAAAATGGCAGATATTATCCTACTGAGGCTGCACCTCAAAAGTTGCTGAGCCAGACACTAACCCTCAGCCAGCAGGTGAGAAATCTGTGACCTGATCTCACTCTTGGACCCATTCTGATCAACAGGGTGTCATAGAGGCAAGAAGGTAGTTTTCTTGAAGCAGCTGGGCAGGGCTTCCTACTAACTTCCTACTTGTGACTGGACCTCTGCTCCTCGATTGACTTCCCCTGAGTGGGACACACCAGAAATGTGTCATCACCACATCTACCAAAATTGGTAACAGTGATGTGAAGATCCCAGAACATCTCCCTGATGATGACCTCAAGAAGAGGCAGGGTCCTCCCTGGTGGCACAAGGGGTTAAGTCTCAGCACTATGAAGCTATTTGCAGCCATTGCAGCATGAGTTCAATCCCTCGCCAAGGAGCAAAGTCACATGTCTTGCCTGCTGCTCCCCTCAACGGTATATTTTGGTCAGTCTGCTTCTTCTGTTCCCCACTCTGTCTCTGGTGAATCCTCTCACCCCTGCCTCTCTGGTCTGTACCCCAGCTCTTGTATGCACAAATAAATAAATCCTTAAAAATAAACAAATAAAAGAGAGAAACACTGTGGGTTACTAATATGCAAGGCACTGGGCTAAGTACTGGTTATTCAACGGTAGGCAAAACTGATGAGCGTTCCTACCCTGGTAGAGCTTACCTCCTGGTGTAGGAGAGTTCTTAATGGAACAGTCATAAATGAGGTGGGATTACATGTGATCACACAGATGACTGTGGATGTCCTATGATGCAAAAGCACCAAGTATTGGATGTGCGCTCCCAGCAGAGCCTCTAGCTTACTCTGGACAATTGGAGTCCAGAGAAGGTTTCCTTGACGAAGTGGCATTTGGGCTGAATACTGAAGGGATAGATAGGTATTAACTAGAAGACCTGTACTTAGGATCACATGCAAAACCACCAACACCATCACTACCTCCTCCCCTAAAAGCCACTGCTGGGAATATCCTTAGGGTTCTGGATTGGCTTGCACCTGTTAGGTATGTCCACCCCCGACTCCACAAGAGCACCCTTCACCTTGACTTCTACCAGGTCCAGGAAATAATGACCACCATCGTCCCTTTTTTGCCCCTACTTGCTGGGCTCTGAGGCAGACCCAGGGGCTTGGATCACGGGGTCAGCCATCCAACATGTACTGGCAGTCATGTCTAGAAGTACTGGCAGCCCCTGGGGGCTATCAGGATAAGGTTACCCTTCTGCTCCACCTAAACTTTCTATGGACAACCTCATTTCTTGGGGCACGTGGTGTTTTGTCTTTCTGGTATTCCTTCTGTTGGGCCCCAGATCAGGTCACCCCAAGATGTGCCAAAGCAGCATATTATTTTCAACTAAAGAAACAGTCAGCAAATCAATGACACCTTAAACCTTCCTTTCTCCTAAAAGCAGAATTGTCTCTGACCCTCCTGCTCTCTATTCCCCATGAAAGGAGGAAATGAATCTCTGTGAAAGGTGCCCTCTCAGCACAGGGATGGAGAGACAGCCTTATGTCAGAGACAGGGACAGGAAGCTGTGTAAACAAGCTCTACTTAGCTCACCAAATTCACTGTCAGAATCAAAACTTTCAAGAATTTCTTTGTCCTGTCAGCCCTACACAGATTTATTGCCTCTTTGTCTAAAAGCTATCTAACTGGCTCTTTTGCTCATTCACTAGATTCTCTATTTTATGCACGATTTTAAATTTACCTTTCCTCTTGCTAACCTCTCTCCTGTCCATTTATTTGGGGGTAGTCAAGGAACCAAAGGAGGTAAAAGGGGGAGATCCTCTGAAATTTCCCCCTGCACTGCCTTTAAGAAAATTCCTCTCCCCGCCTCTAGAGTCTGCCTGTCTTAGCCTTAATGTCAGTGGAGGCCGGCTGCCCAAAGGCCAGGCACAGCCCAGAAGGTGGGTCAGGGGAGCCTTCAGGGGACCCCGACTGTCAGGGATGGGCACTGACTCACACACAGTCTTCCAGGTCCACGTGGGGGCTTCTACCATGCTACTGAGACACTGCATGTTTCTTCGAGAGCCATAGGCTGTCAGGCCCACGTAAACCTGGAGGCATATTGCTGCCATGTTGCACAGGCTTGAGCCCAAGACAAAGGTGCCAGAGACGGAGGACAGGTTCTCAGCATCGTCGGGGGCCTCCTTCGAGGCAGTGCTGCCTGAATTTCAGCTGTATGAGCTCGTAAGTTCCTTTGTTGTTTAAGCTAGCCTGTGCTGGGTTTCTGTCACTCGTAGTCAAGGTGGCCTGAATAATACATCTTTCTTATTATTAGCACTTAAGTCCAAATTACCATAAGTAGGTTGCCTCTGATCACGACAGGGAAAGGATTCAGTGATTCTAATTGCTCCCCACTAACCAGGATACAGGAGGCTTGAAACAGCTGAGCACAGATCTCGAGAATGAGAAGACAAGGTTACGATTATGTTTTTGAGCTTGTTGTGGGTGCCCAGAAGCTTGAAGCTTCTCGCACCACTACTCAGATTGGAACGAGACAGACCAGGCAGAACTGGACCGACCATGGGTGTGAGAGGCCAAGAAGGCCATTGAAACGCAAGTCCCACTTTGCAGCAGCCTAAATCACACATGTGTCAAATACAAAGAAGAAAGGAAGTGACCTAATCAAAACCTTTAAATGGAAAAAACCACAGAGCCATAGCCAGAAGCTGCTCGTTGCAGAATTACTACAATATGTGCTCAGAAATCCACTGTTTTATGAAAAGGCTGCTTGGCTGAGGCACCTCTGTGCTTTTTATCTGAGTGTTTGGTGAGCAGCAGGAGCCCATTATCCTTCAGCGTTCTCTAGTTGTAACAGATTCCTGTGTCAGAAATATCAAGAAATTGGATTCCAGCTGCCAGGGGTTCTCTCTGGGAGATTTTCCATCTCCAAGACAGAATTGTCTTTTCCTCTTTTTCCCATGGTGAGCTGGGGCATGGGGGACACCTGTGATAATTTGCAGAGGCAAAGCTTTGTGTGAGCATGCTGACAGCACTGCCGAGAAAAAGCCCAAGGCTGGGAGTTCAAGGGCAGGCAGGGGGATGAACATTTAAACGAACAGGCAATTTGATAACTACCATGTTGTCGTCTAAGACCCTTTGCTTTTAAACCCACACTGTATTCTTGAAGTTGCAACCATTTAACAACTTCGTATTCTGCAAAGTTAAGGCCATTTCCTATTGAATCACTTGCTACCCTTGGAAGATTTTCTCAGACTTCCTGGTTTTTTCTTAAGATTTCCTCTTTCTCTTAAGATAGTACTCTATGTCAGGAAAGATGCTTATGATTTACAGGATTTTGTTTCCTCTCTCACATACCATTCACTTGACCGGGATATGGACAGACCTATTGAGCATGTAGGTTTTTATGCTTTCAGAATGTTCATTCCAACCTTAATGTTTTGCTTTTTTTTTTAAAGAGACTTTTTTTTTTTTTAAGATTTATTTTATTTATTTATACAAGCACTGGGCACAGTCAGAAGCACGGGAGGGTGAGAGAATTCACCAGAGCCAGAGCGGGGAGCAGAGCAGGCAGAAGGACCGAAGCACACTGCTGAGGGGAGCAGCGGGCGGCAGGAGAGGTCTGCGCGCCATGTGGGACCCTCCTCTGGTGGCCGGGGAGCAGCCGGGGATCGAACCGGCGCTGCAGAGGCTGCGGGCAGCTTCGCAACCCAGCGCTCAACCGCTGCGCCACCGGGGAGGCCCCAACGTTAATGTTTTTGAATGAATGCCTGGTAGAAAAATAATTCCTATGCCCTGCTTATAATTTCATTCACTCAATAAATATTTCACATTTACCATTTTAGGTGCTCTGGGATATAGAGTAGATAAATCAACAATGATTCTTAGCCTCACAAAGCTTACATTGCAATGAGGGCAAAGAGACAACCACAAAAGAATATATTTAAT